TGTGCTTATAATGTTTTTATGACAATATGGCATTCAGCATCTCTCTCCTGAGGAAAATGAGTACTGGCTTTCTTTTTTTTATAATTCTCTTGTGACCTGTATAACCATCAGGGCCATAATGACTTCATAAATTATTAAGGCTTTGTTTTTTAGAATCTGAGAAAGGACTATATTCCTTACAAATTAGAATTGTATTTCCCTTTAGAAATTGGAATTTATAAATGGATTCCATTAGTGGCAACACACTGTAGAGTTGTTTATCTGTCCTTGGAATAATATCCAGCAAAAGCCATGAGTTTGGCTACCTGATTTCTATGCTGGTGGCTCAAAGGACATCCAGAAGGTTTCTGTATTGCATCTTTGTCTGCCTTAACCACAGCATTCTGTTAAAATCAGCATGAACTTGGCCGTCTTTGATAGGAATCAGCATAGAGAGGATTATTTCATTTTGGCCTTTCCTTAGATAATTTTATTTGCAGATAAAATTTTAATTCACAAATATTTTTACACAGAAAGAAGCATCATAGTGTTCTGCTTTTTTTCCTTTTATGAATCCTTTTGTTTTGAGTATGTACCTAAATCAGCGCGTTTAGGTACAGTGATTCTCTTCCCCCTTTGGGAGTACGACCTGCGGGAACCTAAATTGGGATAATTTGAGAGTTAGATAAGGATGAATACTCTTTCATCCCTCTGAATTAGGATAGTTCTAGCACTCCAATTCTTTAGATAATACTTTGTAAACCTCGAGTGTTGCTTTTTTGAAGTTGTTTATTTTAGGCTTTTAGGCCTTCATAATGAAAATTTGCTGTTGATTTTATTGAAGAGTCCAGAATAGATTAGGATTTATATCTGAAGTTACATTTAACACATATTTTGAAGTTGTAACTATCTTTTTCTCACTTAGGAAAAAAGATTATCTCTATCTATCTATCTGTCTATCTATCTATCTCTCCGCCTACCTTCCTAGCAGGGTCTTCCTTATTGTGTTTCTCCCTAAAGTTCCTTGGATATTCTGGAATCACTCTTTCCCCCAGTTTCTCAGAGTCCACTCCATTGAGATGTGAAATGTGAGTGTGTGGCTTAGTTCCAGCAGTTGGACCATTTTATGATACGATGCTTCCCCTTTCCCCCAACAAGACAGGCACTTCTTTCCGCTTCCCTAGTTCTTTGGTCACATCCCCAGAACAGCTTCTCGCAGCATTCTAGTGATATTTAGATCAATTTCCTGCCATCTTACCTAAAATGGGTATTGGTTATACCAGGTGCTTGACAAGATAGGGAAGGGCCTGTCTCTTTGATCCCTGAATATGTGATTTTTAGAAGTTTTCTCTCCTCCAGGGTAGATTTGAATTTAGTATGAATAGCTTTTCCTGCCTGGGTTCCAGCTGTTTGGGACCTAGCAAAGACCCTTTATTTGGGGAGGATCCTAGAAGTAGAAAAGAAGGGACTTGGGACATTCTCTGGAGAGCATGCTCTTATGTCAATAGCAAACTCATTCTATGGCCAGGCTTGGGGCATGCGGAGTGCTCCTCTCCAGCCCCTGTCCATCAAAATGGACCAGTTTCACACTGGCCACTGTCCTTCGAGGCTGTTTCAGGAGTCCAGGATTATCACTGTTTTTTTCCTGCCGGGTTGCAGTCAGAGGAGTGCGAGATCCAATTACCATCAGCTCGCTGCTTTCTCTCTCTTTAGAAGACAAACTTAATAAATCACAGCATTCTTTTGGCCAGTTCTTCCTGACCGGTATAAACCTATCTTTGATTAAACTAAAATATATTCAATATATTTAATATTCGTATTCTATACATACCCATTATGAACTTTACCCTTCTTTTTCCAAGAGGAGAAAAACATCATGTTCTTTGGGGAAATTCTCCTGCCCAGGCTGAGACAGCCTTCATCTTTACCTCCAGTTTCAAGGTTAGATAACCTCAAACAACCTCAAGACATTTGTATTTCAGTCAGTAAAGTTTCATCAGTGATTTCTTTTTAAATGTAGATTCTATATCTTCTTGTCTATTTTAGAATATTTAATATTTTTTAGTCCTATTGAGATTGTTTTCTGTATTATATTTCTAACTAGTTGTCCATATTTTATCCTGTACTTTCCACACAAGCATATGAGTAAGAAGGTCACATGGGAAGCATTTTTAAATTTGTAGGCTTGTGGTCCTTTCCTCAGTGACTCAGCTAAGTCTGGGAGTCGGGGCAAGGGGAGCCAGTTATCCTGGGTATGTGAGTGACTCATCAGGAGTTTCTCTGGCTGACAATTTCCAAATACTGGTAAGCAGTGGAAGAGCACATTCTTCTCTTATCTCTGACTTTAATGCCTCACTTTAAACTCAGCAGTGCCTCAGTTTCCCTATTAAGGATGTGTCCCCTGAAGTGTTAACTAATTGGGTGTGGGGTGTTCCAACCCTGCACGTTACAAAGAAACTGGCCCTTGACTGTCTTCTGGGAGATGACTTCTGAGCCTTTGGAATATCCCGCCTGATAAGAGAGTCTCTGTATGCATGGGGCGTTGAGCCATGCCAGATAATTTATGCTAACAATGTGAATTATGGTGAGGCCCTTGGGCCACACCGTAGCTGCTTGACCTCCAGAGGGGTTGCAGACTGAGTAAGTAAGGTTAACCACACAGGCACTCCAGGCCTATGTGACTGACCCCTAATAAAACCCTGGACACCAGTGCTCCAGTGAGCTTCCCTGGCTGCCAGTACTTCACATCTGTTGTCACACATTGTTGCTGGCAGGATTAAGTCCTGTCCACACAACTCTGCTGGGAGAGGACAACTGGAAGCTTGCACCTGGCCCCTCCTGGACTCTACTCTATGCACCTTTCATCTTTGTTGATTTTAATTGGTATCGTTTCACTGTAATAAACCATAATCAGGAACGTAACAGCTTTTCTGAGTTCTGTGAGTCCTTCTAGCAAATCATTGAACCTGAGGGTAGTCTTATGTACCTCCAGTTTAGGATGATAAGAGCTTTTTACTTTATAAGCCTATTAGAGAAAGGAATAATGATTTCTCCCTGGTATGCTAAGAATTGTTCCTTTTTCAAAAAAGGTCGAATTGGATGTTGTTTTACAAGTACGTTTTTATCAACTCTAAAGATGTTTCCTTGATTTTTGTTTTATTCATATGATGAAATGTATTGTTTTCCTAAATTTGATTTATTCTTCTCTAAAATTACTTATGATTGGTTGTGCTGTATGTTTTAACATACTGTTCTCTTTGATTGATTAATTTATTTATGATTTTATTATGAAAGATTGGTATTTTGCCTTTAGTCTTTGTCATACATGGGCAAATCTTTTAATTGCTATAATTTAGAAATATTTTGTAAGAAAACTTTCTAAAATATGGTACTTGCTGCCTCCTTAAATAGAGCACTCTACCCAATTTGCCGTTTTCTTGACTCACTTCCTCTATTTTGAGCATTGTGGTGTGTAATGGGCCCTCGGGTCCCATTGAGGTACGAGCAGCTATGTTAAATACTCCCCAGACAGCTCTCTGTTTGGAGTCCTTGAGTTTGCTTTCTTTTGTTTTTCTCTTGCTTTCAAATCTCACTCCTAGTAATTCCTGGGTTGCCTTTCTGTAGTGGTCCGTCTCCTGCCTTTGCTTGGCTCCGTGCTAATGGCTGTGCGCTCAGAGACTGCTTAATTAAACTTGTTCTATAATGATTTCCAAAATGAGAGTCAATAGGCTCTGAGGAAGAGCCTGGGGCCCTGTTATCTAGTTGAAAAGCATCTGCTTCATGTCATGGGTTTTTAAATATACATTTTGGATTTTTGGAGATAGATGGATCTCTCTTTAGTTGTTGGTTATTACAGAGAGTTAAGTCCTAAAGTTGATTGGTTGGTTTGTTTGTCTGCCTGTCCATCCATCCATCCACCCACCCACCCAATGCTTATTTATTGAGCATCTACATGGTGCTGTATGCTGGATAACTGAACCTTAATAGGTAAGACACGGTATAGAAACCAGCCCCTGCCTAGCAAATGACATGGGGGCGCAGTCTGAACATTGTTGTGGAAACTTTTGATGAGGACCTTTTGACTTTTATTCTCTCTGGTAATAATTTTCATTTCAGATTTTGAAGTTTTAATAAAAATACTGTGCAGAAAAGAGGTAACATAGCAGGCCTGAGACTGCTATCCTTAGAAAGGCCTGCTTGCAAAGATGGCCTTTGGCTGTCATCTGAGAACTTGGCTCTCAGAGGGTTCCCAGTCAGCATTTAACCTCTAGGTAGTTCACGGTGCCTAGAGTGTTTGTGCAAACAGTATAGTTTATGTTGAATGCATGCTTTCCTTCTGGGAGTCTGGGGTTTTGATATTTGTTCGAGAGAGATGGCCTTGCTGACCAGCACCCAATAAAAATGTTGGTCACTTGAGTCTGTAATGGGCTTCCTTGGGCAGAAACTTCACATACATGTGCTGTATTTTTGTTGCTGAGGGAAAGAGTGTGCTCTGTCTGACCCCTGATGGGAGGGAGAGAGCATAAAGAAGCCTGCACACAGAATCCTCCAGTCTCCACCTGTGCCCTCGCCCTTATGATTCAACTGTGTGTCCTTGTTGTGTTACTGTGCTAAATCTCCACCCTAAGTACGACTGTATGCGAGTCTCCTGAGTCCTCTAGTGCATCTCTGAATGTGAGGGTGGTCCTGGGGACCCCCGGCACAAATGCCTAATGTTTATTGGTCTCATAGTATGTGTGCAGCTCAGTGCTAATCATTTTATGTGGATTGTCTCATTAAATCTTCCCAAGAACAGTCCTCTGTGAGGTGGGTCAGCATCATCATCATCATCGTTAAATGAAGCTGTTCAAAGCTTTGTCAGGTTAAATATCCTGTGCAGGTCCTGTACCTCATACATTTGTTTCAGCATCTTTTTTTTCCCCCCAGATGTTTGTACCTTATAGTATATTGTTTCTGTTGTGTAGGGGAGATTTAAGTGAGAAAACCACTGAGTGTTCTCTGTAATCACTTTATCATTTCAGGTATGAGCACATTCTCTCGGAGCCTGACCCAGTACCAGCATATGCTCTGAAACTGCTGGTTGCCATGACGGAACACAATCCAGCTTTTACCAGGTACTGTAACTTCAAATTTCTTTTTCTTGTTTCTCATTTATAAAATGAATTTTACGTGTTCTGAAAATGTTGTTCAAGGTGATAAGCTTCTAGAAAACTAATATTTGAGTTACCAAAGTGGTAATTTTTCATGTTTTATGGTTTGTAATATCTGTCATTTATGCTATTTTGAGTCTTGTTCTCATATTTTTAACCCTTATTGGAGTTTGCATACTGTGGAGTTTATGATGCTTTAAAATTATAAATTCTTTAAAGATAAAAAACTACCACATATGCTTTAAAAAATGTCAATTGGTGCCTCATATTGTACCTAACAATTGTTTATTAGATCTCTATAGTATTTATAGATTATTACTTTCTACTGTTTTATTTAGTTGACATGCTTTTATTGAGTAGTGGAGAGTTTTTGCTTTTACTGAAGATATTACATGTGATGATGTCAAAGTTTTTAGAACTAGTTGCTAGGATAGTGGCACCTGCTTCAGTCTGGCAAAGGCAAGTTTGTCAGAGAGCCCCCAGGTCTGGAGAAAGGGCAAAGAAGAGACCCTCCTTGCTTTCAAACAAGAACACTAGTTTTAGTTGTGTAGGTGACATCTGAGGACCTTTTGGGTTTGGATCCACCTGTAGGAGCAGTGTGCCTTTGGAATTGTCAGTTGGTCTTTAACAGGGAACTAAATTCCACAGTCCCAACCACCCTGACTTCATCTGGTCTGCTTTCTACCGCAGAAGGTACTGCATAGTGGTGAGCCACCATCACTGGTGTTACTAGTGAACAAGAAAAGCTTTGTAGAGAGTATCCGTATTGAGTGACAGGCTGAACCAAAACAACCTTCCCTGTGGGTGTGTGCCAGGGCACAGAGGTGGCCATGACTGAGTCACAGGGGTGCCAAGGTGCTCTCGGACTTTGGGTTATCTTTGGTGCTAGGGCTATAGCAGCTCTCAGGCTCATTTCTTTTCTTATGTGAGGAGCCTCATTCGTTTCCAGAGAGTGACATGTAAATATTACCCTGTCCTCTCTGTGCCATGTGGCAAAAGAATTTGAGAAGCATTTAACTAATACCCTTTTTGTCCTTGCCAATTCTGAATCCTGTGTTTCTGTAGCCTTTTATAAGTCTGACCATTTTGAGTTAATTTTTCCGTATGGTGTAAGATAATGGTTTGCTTTCATTCTTTCGCATGTGGCTGTTCAGTTTTCCCAACACCATTTATTGAAGAGACTTTCCTTTTTCCATTGTATGTTCTTGGCTGCCTTCTTGAAAATTAGCCGTCTTTGGATGCGTGGGTTTATTTCTGGGCTCCCAGTTCTGTTCCATTGATCTGTGTGTGTTTTTGTGCTAGTACCATGCTGTTTTGATTACTATAGCTTTATAGTATATTTTGGAATCAGGGAGGGTGATACCTCCAGCTTTCTTCTTTTTTCTCAGGATTCCTTTGGCTGGTTGGGGTCTTTTGTTGCTCCATATACATCTTTGTTCTATTTCTGTGAAAAAGTCATTAGAACCTTGGTAGGGGTTGCAATGAGGAGTAAAGACTTGAATGTAAGTCCTGAAACCATAAAACTGCTAGAAGAAAACATAGGCAGTACGCTCTTTGACATCAGTTTTAGTAGCATTTTTTTGAATACCATGTCTCACCAGGCAGGGGAAACAAAAGAAAAAAATAAACAAATAGGACTACATTAAACTAAAAAGCTTCTGCACAGCAAAGGAAACCATCACCAAAATGAAAAGACAACCAAACAATTCAGAGAAGCTATTAGCAAACTATATATCTGATAAGAGGTTAATATCCAAAATATATAAAGAACACATACATCTCAATAACAAAGAAACAAACAACTCAAGTGAAAAGACGGGCAAAAGATCTGAACATTTTTCTGACGTTGATAAACAGATGGCCAATAGGCACATGAAAAGATGTTCAGTGTCAGTAATTATTAGGGAAATGCAAATCAAAACTACAATGGGATATAAACTCATGCCCATTCCAGAATGGCTATAATAAACAAGACGAGAAGTAACAAGTGTTGGAGAGGATGTGGAGAAAGGGAACTCGCATACACTGCTGGTGGGAATATAAACTGGTGCAACCAGTACAGAAAACAGTATGGGGATTCCTCAAAAAATGAAGACTAGAACTACCATGGTCTCCAGCCATTCCACTTCTGAGTATTTATTCAAAGAACATGAAAACATGAATGTGTAAAGATATGTGCACCCCTGTGTTCATAGCATTATTCACAATAGCTGAGGCTTGGAAACAACCTAAGTGCCCATCAGTGGATGAAGGGATAAAGAAGATGTGGTATGTATACACAATGGAATACTATTCAGCCTTAAAAACAGATGAAAACTTGCCAAATGCGACAACATGGATGGACGTTGAGGATATTATGCTAAGTGAAACAAGTCAGATGGAGAAAGTCAAATATTGTATGATCTCACTCATAAGTAGAAGATAAAAACAACAGCAACAATAAGCAATCTCATACGTACAAAGACTAGATTGGTGGTTAGCAGAGGGGAAGGGAGGAGGGAGGAGGGAGAATGGGGTGACAGGCCATATGTGTATACTGATGGATGGTAATTAGTCTTTGGGTGATGAACATGATTTAGTCTACACAGAAATCAAAATATAATGATGTACACCTGAAATTTATATAAAGTTATAAACCAGTGTTACCTCAATAACAAAAAATGTCTTGAAAAAAAGATCTGACTAATGAGCCTTCCAAATTTATCACTTGGAAGGCATCATTCTGTCTTCCTACAGAAGAAATTTAATTCTAAATAGTGAATCTGTATTAGAAGTTGAATACAAATTCAGATAGTTGTTTCCTTCCTGGAGCTTTGATACCAAATACTAATACTACATAATAGATTGAACAGATTGCATTTACTTTTTTAATGTTGACTCTTAGTCATGTGGCATGTTTTCTGGGCTACTTCTTGCTAACTCTATTAAATTCATCTGAATTTCCTCACAGAGAGGGGAAAAACCTAGCGAAGTGGATGACCTATATATAACCATTGATTTTAAAAATGTTTAGAGACTAGGTTTAGAAGTCAATTTACTCTATTTTTTTAAAAAAAATTTACAAGCAGAATTCAGTGGACTAATTTTTAGATAAACTTTTTCTTTGCTTTAATTGCACAACTAATATTTGAATATATTTGAATTAAATTCCAACAGTAAAATCAAGAGATCCCCTTGGCTTCCTCATTCCCCACTCATACTACCACACAGGTCTCTCAAGCTTTGGAGTTTGTTTTATTTCCCTAACTGGATTTTTAAAAGTGCATTTTAAGTGCAACATTTTTGAATTGGTAACAAATTTATATTGGGAAAAAATATATATAAAGAGAGAGATACTGAGAAGTCTGATTCCTTCCCCTGTCCACTCAGTTCTTTCCTCCTCTTCTTCTTATCCCTTATGCTTAACCACTTTCGTTTATTTTGTGTCCAAATGCAATGTGAATTTGTTTTTCTTATTTTCTCATTCACGTATTCTAATATGAATATGTATTTTCTCATTTCTCCCTTTACACATAAATAGCATATTATGTACGTTTTTCTGCTCTTTGACTTTTTCACTTACCAGTATATCCCCAATATTTAATATGCAGACTAAATCACCTCCTGCCTGGCTTTCCATTGCACAAATACGCCACAGTCTGCTATCCATTTTACTTTTAGCAATGTCTGCGTTATTTCTCTTTTTCCTGTCATGAATAGTGTGGCCATGACTATCCCTTTGCATGCTCACTGGTGAATCCGTGTATGTGTCTCCATTGGGTACCTGTGCTGGAATGGAAGAACTGGCTCCCAGAGCTTGTGCTTGTCCAGACCCAGTAGATACCACCAAGCAATTTTCCAAAATTGGTTGTACCAATTTACATTCCTACTAGCATTGTTCGAGAGGTCCAGTTGTCACGTAAGCTTTTTTTTATTTTAAGATTTGGCCCTGAGCTAACATCTGTTGCCAATCTTCCTCGTTTTTTTTCTTCTCCCCAAAGCTCCCCAGTACCTAGTTGTATATTGTAGTTGTAGGTCCTTCTAGTTCTGCTATGTGGAATGCTGCCTCAGCATGGCTTGATGAGCAGTGCTGGGTCCGCACCCAGGACCCGAACTGGTGAAACTCTGGGCCGCCGAAGTGGAGTGCGCGAACTTAACCACTGGGCCACCGGGCCAGCCCCCATGTAGCTTTTAAAAAATTTTTTGTTAGGTTTATTGTCGTATAATTTAGATAGAGTAAAATTCACTCACGTTACGTATGCAGTTCTCTGAGTTTGAGAAGCACATGCAGTTGTGCAGCCACCACCACTTTCAAGATGAATAGTATTTCCTCACTCCAAAATGTTCCCCCATGTCCCTTTGAATGTTAGCTTATAAAAATTATGTTTGCCTGGAGAATGATACGACCAGACTAATTTTATATTTAATTTTTAAAATGTATTTTTTAAGAGTTAATACATAACACATTACAAATTGCAGTATTTGCAAGAGTATACAGAGAAAAGCATATTTTCACCCAATGAGATAGCCACTTGTACCAGTTTGTGTGTATTATTTTTCACATTGACGGTAGTATGCTGTCTGTACCATTCTGCACTTCTTTTTAAAATATATATATAACAGTTTCATTGATATATAATTCACACATCATCTGTACTTCTTTTTAACAGATACATAGGTACTGCATTTTATGAATATTCTATATTTATTTAACAAGTCCCCTTTTGGTGAAGATTTATGTTTTTCTTATCTTTTGGTATTATGAAGCAAAGCCACAATTGATGACGTCGGTCATTCATTGCATGTGTGAATATATATGTGTGTAGGATAAATAATGAGAAATGGAATTGCTTTATCAAAGGGTACGTCAACAGCCATTCCTAAACTTGTCTGTGCGTTAGTATTATCTGGGGATCTTTTAAAACGTCTAAAGCCCAGGCCAATTAAATCAGTCTCTTGGGCTGCACACCAGCATCAGTAATTGT